TTTTTTTTTTTTTAGACAAAACTATCCCAACATGACACCTTTTATATGGCTCGTGGGTCGGTGGTTTAAACTAAGTACAAAATGTAACACCTCCCTGGCCATTTTGTTTTTCCCCTTCAGTTTTTCAGGTGGCATATTAAATGCAGCTCTCGTCTTCCCACCCAGCAAAATGCTCAATTCGCACACACTGCAAGTTGCCATTGCGGAGACGGCTTTCCACATTGAAATATTTCCACGCTGCAGACATGATCGTTGTAACATGGCGCTAGCTTCACGTTAGCTTCCCGTGACTACTGACAGAACGTTCCTACATTGGCTGTGCTTCCTTCTGCTGTTTGCAGCTCTGTTTTTGTAATGGTGCATTGTATAAAACGCACAGTAAATACTGTGCACACACACAACTGTACACACACGAGAGCGAGAGAGAGAGAGAGAGAGAGAGAGGATTTGCTTTTGTCATTTCTCATTTGTAGTTGTGCACATCTCAAGTATCGCATCATGCATACAGTAATTGTGTGTGTGTGTGTGTGTGTGTGTGTGTGTGTGTGTGTGTGTGTGTGTGTGTGTGTATGTGTGTGTGTTTTGCTTCTTTTTTTCTGTGATGCCACCACAGTAGGGTGATCGCAATACATACAGTAGTACTGTTACTTAAAAGACTGCCTGTACGGATTTAGTGAATAATGGTCAGCCGACCCAAGAACGCAGCGTGCCTATTATTTTCCTCAGGGGGAAAAAAACCTTTTTATTTCTGGCATATTCCAACCCGACCACTCGTGAGATACAGTTTGTTGCTACACTTTTTAACTCTCCAAACACTCCATTTTACATCCCAAAGCTTGTGATGTTTATAGTTTGGAGGCTCGATCTGCTAATCCCCTAAATCTCCCCTTTGGTGCGCTGCATAAAACGACACCAAGTACAGACGAGACTGGCGCTGTCGCTCATGTTTTGGACCTAATCAAAGCCCACTGACAGCGAAGCCACGCCGGGGGGGGGGGGGGGGTCCGACGCTCTCCGTCACCAGGGCGACAATGACAGAGTGAAAACAAGGATTTTTTTTTTTCCCGCCAGCAGACAACTACTGTTTTTCAAAGGTTACGCTCGGTTTGATTCCTATTTGGATGTCTGTGTGGGGGATGGCGGATCGGGGTGAAGCGATGGGGTGACAGCTACCTGGGTGGTGTTACAGACCTAGCGGAGCCAGAAGGGCGGGCTTTGCTGACGCCACGCCATGCAATCACACTATAATTACCTGCGAGAGGAGGCAAAGGCCGAGTCCGCACCCGTGACAGTTGATTAATAGACTAGACCGACATCCCCAGAAGTCGCCCGCCTCTACATTTAAGTTAAGGATTTGGATCAGAACCTGTCGGAGCTTGCGGGTAGTCCAACTAGCAATTTTGATGGCACTGTTGCCCTTGATGAGACAATGCAAGTGCCTCGGGGGGCAGATATTTTGTTGTCGCCGTTTCACTTTTCAACTCTTGACGTTTGAAGTCAAACCATAACATGCCCAAATGCCATATGAGAGTGTCGAAAGTCCGGCCCGCATTTTGTTTTTTTTCACTGTCTAGATGCATATTCGAATGATAAAATCAAACACAGTCGAAGGTTAAAGAGATAAAGAGTTTGCGTCGGTTTGCCGGCGGCTATGGAGGTGTGCTTGAAAGGAACTGTCCTTGTCCCGTGTACTTGTCTCTATCATTAATTTCCTCAAGAGTGGACATTTAATGTTCTGTATTATTAAAACAGCATCGCCCCCGCCCCCCAACGGTATGAATGAATTGATTTGATAATCCTTCCTTGAAGGAAAATGTACTGGCATAGTTGGCCGTTTTTTATTGTAAATGTCATCATATGTGTGCTTTCTGGCATCGCGTTACACCCCGAGTGTCGGAAAAAAAAAAAAAAACAAGGAAATGACAAAACACACATGCAGTCAACCTTTTGACGCCGGCTGAAATGAACTCCAAACAGCACGACATTTTTAGCCTTTCGTTGGTCATTTGCAATTTGGAATACGCGTACTTGAGGCTACTTCTACAACGTTGCGAAATGTGTGTGCGTGCGTCTTCTTTGGTCTCACACGTTCCCTTCATCCCTCTCTCGCTGCATACTAACAACTGGAGCTGCTATGCCGTTTCGTGTACATCAGACATGCTGGTGTTATCCACTGGGGCTGACCTGAACATTACTCTCTCTTCTTTCCTGGCTTGTATGTGTGTGTGTGTGTGTGTGTGTGTGTGTGTGTGTGTGTTTTTAAGAGGCTTTGTTGTCTTTTTTTTCTCTCCCTGCTCCTACAGCAGCAGGGCTGCAGGGTTGCCCTCAGCCTGCCCTGCATTAGTCGGCTCACAGAAGCACCAAAACAAACCCACCCGCCAATCCCGTTCAGAGAGCTTCGCAATGCAGTCAAAATAAGTCATTTGAGACAGGGTCTTGCCGTGTCATTTCGGTGCGGGAATTTGTTTTTTTAATTCAGCTGTTTGCATAGAGGCCGCTGCACCTGGAGGTGGAGGTTAGTTGATAGGAATGAATGAACAAACCACAAAGACAGAAATAGAGGTCGAAGCGTCGTCGGGTTAGACACCAAGAGAGATGCAAAGTGAGTTGGGGGGTCAGGAGGTGCACTTAGGTGACTTTACCTCGCACGTAGAGGTTGGCGGGAGCCGAGTAACGGGTGCCGGCGCTGTTGGTGGCGATGCATTCGTATTTGCCCTGGTCGGACTCCTCGCTGTTCTCAATTTGTAGAGCTCCTGCAGGGTGGAAGGGAAGGATGAAAGAACTGAGCCGCAAATGTAACGTGGCATAAAAGCTCGGCAACAATCTCGTCGGCTAAAAAAAAGCGGATACGCTTCCACCGCATTTTGGTGAGGTTAAATGCCCGGTGGCGGTGATAAAACGATCAAATGAAATTAATCAGCAGGCTTGTATGCGTCTCTCGGGTTCTGTCGTTTGTTGATGTTAGCATCCACAATACATGAATGTCGTGACACAAGCAAACAAACTCGGGATGGGCGGGAGAGTTGCTGACTTTTACCGCTGTGAAGGATCTTTTTTTTTATATGAATCAGAAATATGAGCAGTTTTTTTAATGGTGTTTTGGCAAAAATCTAAATAATAATACAATGATGAGACGCTACCAAAATTGCAGGCCGCATAGATGAAGTATAAAAAAAAAAAAAAAAAAAAAAAAAACTTACAGTGGTTCCTACTTATTTATCATTTGAGGCTGAAAAATGTTTTCTTTTGAAAAGTGACTGGATTTTCTGAATTACATTCCAAATTTGTCCCCATCTCTTATGCCTCTGAAAAGCCTGCGTGAATGGGGGGGGGGGCTATGGAGTCGCCCCAAATGATAGTTTGGCAAACAACAGCAAACTTACCTGCCTCTCGTGACTGACAACACACATGTACAAACTTTGAGTGTGTGAAACACATGTTTGCGACAACAACAAGTGTGACACCTCCCAAACAGCGCAGAACTAGCGTGAAAGTCAGCCAGCCAGCCGCGCAGTTGGGAACAAGACAGATCGGACGGCGTCAGATGATGTGTCGGGATACAAGTTGTCCCCCCCCGCCATCCCAACACCATGCAGCATGAGATGGATGCGACAAACAAGGCTCACCACCCGGCACGCCGACGACCAAGGTGAGTCTTCTCGGGTAGGAGGGAGTGGTGCGCTCAGATCTCACGACAGCGCAGCCTTCGATATTCCGAGGTGGCAAATTTGCCGCCGTGCGACTCGGTGCTGACATGCACCTGCATACTAATGACGCTGTCACCAAACTGTCAATCTCACGTTGGGGAAGAAATAGCGCGGACCGCCTGCGGGAACGAGGGCGCTTAAGTTGTCAGACCTGCGACACTTAAACCCCCCCCCCCCATCCAGTCTAGTTATTTTCAACTCTTTAGAGCAGTGGTTTTCCAAAACTGGATTCTGTACCTTAGTGGTCCACCAAATAATTTACCATAAATGAATGTGTATAATTTAAAAAATAATCATAAAAGGAAAACAAATCTACGCCTCCCCCTGCCCCCCCCAGAAAGGTAGCTTATCTTTGAGACGATGAAAAGCTTATGTTTTGATTGTGACGTATGCTCCCATAAGATGAATCTAAACTCCACAGGTGAACTTGATTTGACCTTCACCAAATTGGCTATCTCGTGTAGAGAAGGTAAGAGAAGGCATCGGAGGTTTGCACGGGTGTACATGGCATCTATGTTTAAATGGCATCGGGGTTATGAGTTGGGTCCATGGAGAAATGCTCCTCCGCAGCGTTTAAATCAAGAGTCTTCGCAAGGTGGGTGGAAGAGCGGGGAGGCTCGCTTGCATGGCTTGTATGCTAATGCGGCATCCGTTTACATTTCAAGACATGTCGTGCCAGCAACAATCTCACGTGGCAAAACCGACCTTCGTTTGAAAATGAAAACTCCTCGCCGCTTCGAGGTCAAGACGCGGTTGGCTCAAAGTCAGCCTTTACGGCAACACCGCCCGATTTTGAATGCCAGCTTGGTCACGTGTGCATCTGAAAAAGCATGCCTGGCCCGTTGAAGGACGTGGAAGTCAGCGGAAGAGAATGTCGAATTGGCTGACTGTTAACTCGCTAAAACGTTTGGCGCCGCGTGTTAAAGTGACGGCGCGAGGTGAGGCCATCGGCGGCTTGTCTAAAAACAGTGATTTGCAGCTGGTGGGTTGGGACCCACTTTGGGTGGGTCGCGGAGAGCAAGTAAACATTACTTAGCATTTTTCACAACAGTGCTGAAGTGTGTCAAGTTCCCACATAGAACATACAATACGGGGAAAATGGCAGGAAAGTTGACTCACTTGTTATCGAGTCACAAGCCACTCTACAAATGCAGTGCCGCTCAGTCCTAGCTAGCTAACGTTAGAGCTAGCAATGTACTTGTGGTGGTACGCCAAACTCATTTGAAACCGCGTTTAAAAATTTAACATACTGCACATGTATTTTTTGAGGCTATTTTTAAGTCACACAAAAAAAAAAAAAGCTCTATTGTTCTTAACTTCTATAAAATGGTTTGCAACTTTGGAACAGTAGGAAGATGTGGGTCCCTGGGTGACAGAAAATGTGCTTGTGCTTACAGTATCTTGGGACAGTTGGTCAATAACGCAATTGGAATTGCACCAGCGGCTGTCTAGACTCCTTCTATCCTAACCACCTGTTGGGGGATTACGCACACAGTGTCGCAGTGTGTGTGTGTGTGTGTGTGTGTGTGTGTAGGTTCTCAAGGCACACACAAACACACACACACACACACACACAGAGACACGGTTGTCATTACTAATAAATAATAATAATTATTAGGATTATTATTATAGGAAGAAGATAAGCACTTGGTATACGCATTCCCTCTGGGAAAGCGGAGTATGAGCAAGTCTGATGATGTCTCCCGGCATCCCGAATCAGATTGCGTTGGGTTGGATTTCCAAAGACGCACACACACAAGGTCACACCTTGAAACATGCCGACAACAAGGCTGGTGAACGTCGTGTGTAAGGCGCAACCACCGCGGACAGACCATGTGCTCGCCGGACGAACGGGGGGGAAACGTGGAAAGAGGCGTCAATGAACCTGGAGTGGTGGTGACTTTGGGTAGGGTGGGGTGGCTGATGCAAGAGGGGGGCGGGGGGGGCTGTTGCATGAGATGTGATGGTACACATTTGTTATTTCTTTCTTGATGTCTTTTGAATCATCATCCTTACCTCTAATTGGCGTACCACCTAGGTGGGAGTCATATTGAGGCAAACAGGGGTTGAGAGATTTAGTTAGTAATCCACTTCAACATCGGTGGGAGAGAAGAAAAGAAAAAGCCAAATAAAACACACGGCTTTCTGGCAGGCCGCCGATAAGGAATAAACAGATTAGAAGCAACGTGATAAAGTACACCGTGCCGGATGCGGCAAAACACTGAGGGGCTTCCATACATTGCATTGGGCTCATAAACAGCCAGTAACCTCACGCATCGCTTGTCTTTGTGTACTATTTTTGTTCTAGATCGAGCCGTATGGTTAGCGGTAAAATCCTGATGCGTCAACAGATGTCTGGAAAATTGTGCGTCGTAGTCATGGGAAGGTGGGGGGGCGCGGGGGGGATAAAAAGAGTTGTTAGTCCGAGGGCATATCAGTGTGTTTCCAGGCACCCACTCGCTGTCTCACGAGAGAAAGAAAACCAATTAAAAGTTTGGTGCAAGACTAAATGGAGTAACGTATGATACGAGAGTCATTTTTAACCTTGGCTTGTGTTCGCATATTAATGCTTTTATTTGTGAGGGGGGGAAAAAGTGGAACTACTCGGAATGGTTTTTCATAATGGCGACTGACTCTATTTCCTGAGATATTTCAGTTTGCCTGCGCGGTTGGGAAACAATGTCGTGAGCATTGCACATTGTGTTGAATCGTACGGATTTTTTCGACGTGTCGATATGCTTTTGTGTCCATCTACCTTGGCTCTTATTCAACAATGGTTAAATGTTTATACTGTAGTTAACTGTCCTTTCTTTCAGGAGACATATATTGCATTATACACCACTAACTAGGCATGTGCTGGGTACCATTTTCAAGTCGTATTATAAAGTTATATTTTCAAAACTGCAAAAAAAAAAAAAAAATATATATATATATTTTGGGTGGAACAGGCTAACTGGCATTGCTAACGTTCAATTCTTCTCTGACATTACTTCACAAATGTGCAAATAGGTGAATCCGAGACTATGTGTGGATCCACTGTCATAAAGGAAATATGTTTGTAAAAAAATAAATGCAATTTTTTTCTGTTTTTGTTTTTTTTTTTTTTGGGGGGGGGGGTTGAATATTGATCAAGGGGCTACTCAGAGTGTGCCCGCTGGCCGCCAGTTGCCCAGACGTGATCTTTGAAAACCTAAAGTGCCGGTATTAAAAAAATAATAATCATAATTTAAAAAAAAAAATATGTCAGCGTGTACCTGAGTGGAGCTGTCTGATGCGACCGTTGCTACTACTGATATCCACAGGCAGCATGTCCTTGAACCAGGTGATCTCCGGGTCGGGGTTTCCGCTGGCAGCGCATAACATGGTGGCGGTTCTGGTCCGCTCCACCACCTTCAGCTGGGGGCCCATGTCGATGGTAGGGAAGCCGTGGGGGATCTGGTTCTCTGCAGACAAACATACGGGAGGGTCTTTTGTTAGGAAAGCCAGTGAGAAGGTGGGGCGGGGGAAAAAAAAATGTGAACGTTGAGAGGCCTCTCAGCGGCTTTGAGAGCTTCAAGGATGCCGGCTCGCAAGAATTTAGGAGGTATTTACTGCAAGATGAAGTGGTCTTTAGCATACAAAAAAAAGTATCGTTCGCATAGTAATGACGACAAAAGCAACGCTTCAAAATACGACGACTCACTCTCTGGAATTTTTCAGTTTACTTGGACTGTGTCTGCTGGCTGTTTCCATGGAGAAGAGGTGTGATGACGCGTGCCTACATGTCAGCAAGAAAACGTGGGCTTTAAGTGAATTATTTCCAGTCCGTTTTGGATTTTCCGTTCGATATCTTGATTCGCATTAATAACCGGCATAAGGAGCACACGTTGGATCTGTCGGTTCACAGGCGCTCATGCCTCTCATTGAGTCGGCATTAACTTTGTGGATTATCCTGAATGCCGTTCGTTCGTTTTTGTTGTACGTGGTGGCGGTTTTTAAGGAGGAGCGCTGACATTTTTGATTGCATGGTTGGGGCTTAGTGAGTCCTGTTCAATTCATTCGGACGAGGGTGTGGTCATCATTAATTCCGGCTCGGGCACATCGCTGTGGTTGTGGCACGTTAAATACGTAACAATGGCCAAGGTGAATTTCCTCAGGCGATGAAATGTTTCCAACTTCCAACGCTGCGGCATCTGCTTTACACATAGAAATATTTGTATTGGTGCCGCAGCGTTTTGGCGAGCGAGGCGTTTTTCGCTCTCAACGTCAGCAGGGGATATTTTAGAGCAAACAATGTTGTACCGCCGCCCATATAATATTTATGATTAAGATTATTGGCAAGTGTTTCCGGGCCGGTGAAAAATGCAAACGGAGATATCACATGCGGCGGCGGTGGCGGTGCGGTCATATCGGGAGAGCTCAAACGGGGAGGGAATAAATCAGGAAGGCTTATAAATGAACCTGACCCTTTTTTTTTTTTTTTTACCCCGTTTGCTTGGCAGGTGAGCTGTGAAATCCTCTGTGGGTTTTTTTTTTTTGTTTGTTTTGCACTGGAAATTCAATGCCATTGAATCGGAGCAACTTTGTGGGTTTTTTTTTTTCCAGTGATTCCAAATTTTTATTTTTCTGACACTGTCGAAACTTACGTCATGGTTTGGAACCTGATTTTAAAACAGCAATCCAGGCTTCGCACACTAATTTGAAACCCTACGCATGGCTTGAAAGCCTACTTGAACAACTCGAACACTCTTGAAACCCTGTTTGTGATCCGTCGGGCAAGTTTAAGTGGCTTGAAAGCCTACTTGAACAACTCGAACACTGTATTGAAACCCTGTTTGTGATCCGTCGGGCAAGTTTAAAAGTTAATAGCCCTACGTTGAAACCCCTTTCAATGTTTAATGCTGGCTTGAAACCCTGACCCTTGTCTAAACCTTCATTTGAAAGCCTAACACTGAACTGACCCTGACCTGACACTCTAATTTAAAACTCTAACGCTGAATCGAAGCAATGCCCCCCATGTAAATTGGTTTTCATTGGTTCTGTGTCGAAGCAAAACGTTACAGCTTTCATGAGGCAAATTTTTGCTTGAATGAAGGCACAATCCGGGTATTTACAAATGTACAATGCTTACAGAATGATGCACATTTTGTCACATGTCGCCGAATCAATTTTGAATGTCCAACTCATTTGGTGGAAAAAAAGAAAAAAAAAACTCAAATTTGAAACTCTTAACGCTGAATCGAAGCAATGCCGCCCATGTAAATTGGTTTTCATTGGTTCTGTGTCGAAGCAAAACGTTACAGCTTTCACGAGGCAAATTTTTGCTTGAATGAAGGCGCAGTCCGGGTATTTACAAATGTACAATGCTTCCAGAATGATGCACATTTTGTCACATTTGCATGTCCAACTCATTTGGTGGAAAAAAAGAAAAAAAAAACACAGTGGAAGCTGTCTGAATATGAGTAGTTGACAAGCTATTGTGGAAGCTTTTTGAGGCCTGCCTGGTTTCCCAACTCCTGCAGCTGGTCTGTCTGCCAACTTGTCATTCCAGGCAAGACAAAGACGCGCCTTTGTTCACGTCCTCTTTCATTGCCCGGGACGCCGGAGAAGGCAGGCGATGCTTGGAGGGAAGCCAGTGAATCAAATCAAACATGCGACTTGATGTTTCTTATGATAAGCAGACATTTTGAGTCAAGCCCCCGGCTTGAAACGCCGACCTTTGATTGAAACACTGATTTGGAACCCTCGCCTAAGAAACATCATTTGAACTCTTAGCCTTGTTTAAAACCCTACTTGGAAGTTTCAAGACCTAATTTGAAACTTGAAGCCTTGCTTCAAATTCAACTTTGAAATCTAAATCTTTGCTTGGAACCCAAACCCTGTCCTAATTTCCTAAATTTGAAAACTTGTCTTAAAAACAAAACCGGAAACCCTACGACAGGTTTGAAATACACCGGTTGCTTCTTTCTTTTGGTTCTTTGAGTTGATCCCAATTTAAAAAGTATTCTGAACCCACTACCGACACGGATTTTGGATTCATGACAGGGGCCATGTTTGGTTTTACTCAATTGTTCATTTTCATTGAAGATAAAATGGTTGTGACATTTTGTTTTGGTTTGTGCTTATGTACTTGTACTATGGCTTATGACGGAATCGTAGTGAAGACTGGAACCCGTGTGTGTGTGTGTGTGTGTGTGTGTGTGTGTGTGTGTGTGTGTGTGTGTGTGTGTGTGTGTGTGTATACTGAATTAAATTACCAATTGGGCCGGGGGGGGGGGGGGGGATGCTGACGAGGATGTTGGCGACGACACTCCTAATATGGTAATTAGTCCAATTAAGAAGCCGTGACGTGGTCCTAAACGGCTGTGCAACCTGCGAGCGTTAAGGCAGGTGCGGGGGAGTAGAAATAAGTAAGAAGGAGAGCAAGGAGAAGGGGGCGGGCACTGGGGAGGGTTTGCATGCCAACCTCCTGCCAGCTCCAATTACCAGTGCGAGCGGAGCGTGGCGACGAGGGCGATGGCTCTAATCAGAGCCCCGCTGAAATGGACCCCGTCCTCGTCCTACTGTCCCGCCGGGAGGGCCGCTGGATGGTAATGTCGCGCCCCCCAATCCCCCACCCCCACATCAACCCAAAACATCTCCTTGTGGGAAAAAGTGGGAACAAGGAAAGGGCGACATGCGAAATACCGCACTCGTGCCTCATGTGGCCGCGCTTTCTCATTACTCGTCTCAATCTGCATTGAGGAGGGCAGACCAATGCGCTGCTATGAATGTTGAACGTGTGGGCAGGAGAACAGACGCCTCCTATAGAGAATACGTAGTTGTGAAACATGGAAGGGGAGCGAGCATATGCATGCGAATGAATATTCATGAGCAAACACAATTCACTGCTTTCGGCACCAATCGTTGAAGGAGATATAACGTGACATTTTCTTCCCAATTAAAACATTTCCCCGATGTCTGAAACATCCCAAATATGTTGAAGAGTTACGGTTACAACATGGGGAATGAATACTTAGAAACTTTATTTCAATGCTTTGTTTTTTTTTTTTTTTTTGGCTTTAGCATAACAGTGGCGGCCATTTGTCTCAGGATTTTTCTGGCTATGGTAGCTGAATGCAACTCCCAGTTGAAACTAAACACAAAGCAAAGAGAAATGCACATGTATTTAAAAAAAAACAACAACAAAACAAACAAACAAAAAAGACAACTTACACTAGCTTTTTGCTAACACACAATACAAAACACCACAGGAAGGCTAACAAACAGCATCAACCGTCACCGTGTTGTGAGTGGCCAAGTTGCACACCCAAGTTGTTCACAATTTGCCAAACTGCTGCTTGTCACGCAGTGAGTCGAGTTCACTGCCACCACACAGCGCTCGCAATCTCAAATGTTTGCCACGAGTGTCATCTGAACGGCGGGCCGTACGCCGAAAAATTCATAGCACCCGTAGCTCAAGAAACCACTTTGTAGTATTTTCCTGACAGCTCATCGGCGCATCCAGCAACACTGCAGCTCTCCTTCTCTTTTCCTTTTGACACAAAAGCACGGTCGGAAAAAGTTTGGGGGGAAAATGGCCGCTATTCGAACAGGTAGCCGGCAAGTGATGAATGTTTCAACTCGATATGATGGAAATTAGCCCGACTGTGACGTCACAATTTGCAAAGGGGACGTGGCATCGGTGCAGCTGACATCTACAGAGGAGATTCGAGACACGACTGAAGCTGCCAGCTGCATCGTGAAGCGTAAACATTCATCGGTGCCATGTTCGATTAGAATAGAAAGCTTTCTGAGTCAAGAATAAAGAGGCACTTAGATGCTTTTTCTTTTTTTTTTTTTTAAATCAATACCAGGTCTCACAATGAAGCCTTTTATTATTTATCTACAAAGGGAGGGGGGGCGGGGGGGATAGCACGAAAGGTGTTGTCTGTGCTCCAATTGGTCTTGAGTCAATATGGCACTGAAAGGCACACGAGTCATCTGGAGGGGAAGAAAAATCAAGTGAAAGGCCCGCGGCTGTTTTCCGACGGCAGCGCGGCAAAGGCAAGACGACATTTGCATGTGCCTCATACAAAGAGGCGAGGTTTCGACAGGGAGGGGGTGGAGGTAGGGAGGAGGATGCAAAGAATAAAAGTTCAGCAGGTTCAACTGAAAAAGCTGCTTGACTGATGATCGTGACTGACGAGTCGCTCGGCAAAATGTTTCACAGACGTTTTCTGTTTCGTAAGACGTGTCGGCGTCGAACCGCAATCCTACCGCTTACCTCCAACACGATCATACCGTATACTAGGAGTGGGCCATATATTCAAGATATCAATATCGAAATGAGGACGATAGCGGTCACGTCACCTCGCCACGCTCGGGTTACGTGAAAAGCTCAGTTCAACCAACCACATTCCTTCAAGTTCGGCCTTGATTGACAGGTAAAACCGTGTTTGGTTTGAAACCAAAATGGAAATCT